AAAAAAAAAAAAAAAAAAAGACTTGGGGGAAATGGGTTAGTTGAAAAAAACTGGTGGCAAAGACCTTTATAAGATGCTTCCTTTTACTTTATCAATTCTGTCCAGCTTGATTTTTTTTTTTTTTTACAATGAACACACATGTGTATCACTTTTACAATTAAACAAATTAACTGTAAACTTTTTTTAAAAAGGGAAGCAGCATGTAAGAGAAACTGCGTGGGGGTGGGGTGGGGGTGGCATTTGGTGAGTTCTGACTCATCTCTCCTACTCACCAGTCCATCTCCCCGCATAAGGCTCTCATGACTGGGAGGAAAGTGCAATTAATGGCCCCATTTCAAAGTGGGAAAAGTGAGACTCAGAAATTTTAAGCCACGTGCCCAACTCACAGCCTGATTCCAAAGAAATCTTTTGGCCCATCACACAGCCCCTAATTTTCATACGTAAATAAGGGGGTGTAAAGGATTTCTCAGGTCCTCTGGTTCTGATACTGTCTGGTCCCCGGACACCCGGGCGAGTTCTTGAAGTGTCAGTCCTGCCCCGAGCACCCAAATGCCCAGAGGGCCCACACTAGGCACCCCCCCCCCAAATCGAGGACACCTGCTCTCCACCAGTGCCCCGCTCCTGATTTCTAGAGAAAACACCCTTGTTGAAAAGCTACTAAACGTAAGCAAGGAAAGCTAATGGGCAGCTCCTTGTAGCTGAACCTGCCCCACTGGCCACGAGAGGGAGAGGCCCCGACTCACCCCGGCCGCCTCCTGGTGCAGGATCCTGGCCGCCTCCGCCTGGCCCAGGCCCAGCTGCAGCCACACCGGGCACGTCTTGATGAGCTTCTCCAGGACGCTGATGCCCCGGGCAGGAAGGCAGTTCTTCGGGGTGACTGGCAGGCAGGGCCCCATGCCATCTTCCTCCCCCTCTTTCTCTCTTCTGTCAATATCTGGAGTAGGACTGACAGAGAATAAAATGATCAGCCGCTTCTGCAGCCCGCAGACAGGGGTTTAGAACAACGGGGGTTCCCTCCCACCCAGATACTTAATCGGCATCCAGGAGGAAAGCGGCCCTCCGGGGGGTTAAACAATGAAAGAGCTCTAATAAAATTGGGGTAAACATACACAGAAACTACCAGCTGTAGCCCAACATTAGAGTAAATATATCAGGAGCACAATGTGACTGAAGTGGCTAATCCCAACCCAGGGTGGGTCCAGGGGCACACGGGGCAGGGGGCTGGGGGTGCATTTGAGCAGAACTCTGAATAGGATTTTTTTAAAAACACCTTTTTAACGAAAATGTAACTTACATACAGTGAAATGCACAAGTCTCTAGTATGCAGTTCAACATATTCTTACATTGCCTATACCTGTGGACTACCACCCAGATTAAGACAGAAAACGGCGCTAATACTGTAGCTACAGGTGGGAATTGGGCTCTCAAAAGTGGGTGGTCTGGGGAGGGGGGGCTGGGGGACTAGGGGAGAAGGTGAAGGGATTGAGCACAGATTGGTAGTTACAAAACAGTCACAGGGACATAAAGTACAGCATCAGGAATATAGTCAGTAATATTGCAATAACTACGTATGCTGCTAGGTAGGTACTGGAAATATCAGGGGGATCACTTTGTAAAGTATATGATTGTCTAACCACGATGCTGTACACATGCAACTAATCCGAAATAATATTGAATGTAAACTATAATTTAAAAAATGGAAGTAGATGTTCTGAATTAAGATGTGCACACAGGATTTCGAACACTTGATATAAAAAAAGACTGTAAATAGTTCATGAATAATTGTTTACAATAATTACATTTCTAAATGATAATAGTTTAGATATACTGGGTTAAATAAAACATTATTAAAATTAATTTCACCTATTTCTTTTTACTTTTTTAAAAATATATCTCTATTGATTTCAGAGAGGAAGGGAGAGAAAGAGATAGAAACATCAGTGATGACAGAGTCGTCACTGATCAGCTGCCTCCTGCACACCCCCAACTGGGGATCGAGCCCGCAACCAGGGCATGTGCCCTGATCGGGAATCGAACCATGATCTCCTGGATCCTAGGTTGATGCTCAACTGCTGAGCCACACCTACCAGGCTCTTTTTACTTTTTAAATGTGGCTACTAGAAAATCTAAAACTACACACAGGGCTTGCATTCTATGTCTATTAGATGCGCTGACACAGACATTTCCAGAAGTCTCCCTGTGCCCCTCCCAGTCAACATCCCTGCCCCGCACCAGGAGGATGTGACAGGTCAGAGTCTGGGAAGGAGGAGAGTCACAGGCATAAGAAACAGCAAAACCCAAGCAGAGGTGCAGTTTAAGAGATCTCGGACCCTGCCCAGCACGCTCACTGTGCTCCCCCTGCCCCAGACTCCAGAAAAGGAGGGTGACATCTCGGTGCCTCAAATCCTGCGTCAGGTGGGCTGCGTGGTCTGTTTGCATCCTACCCGAGGAAGGGGTGAAACCTTAATCAGACAAAACGGGGTAGTTATAAAACCAGGAAGATGTGGCTCTTTTGCCCTGTGTCCCTGCAATGTTGCCGAATGCCACCAGTGATCAGGGTTGGCATTTGCTGTAGGGAGAGGCGCGGGGGGACAGATGAGCCAGGCTAGACCCACTTCCTGGGGGGCGAGGGGGTCAGAGGGCAGCAGGACTCGGGAGTCCTGATGAGGGTACAGCCTTTCCTAAAGAGGAGGGTGGGGTCCTGGCGGTGGTTCTGGGGTAGGGTTGCGGGGAGGCTGGGAAGTGCTGGCTTAAACCTGCCCAGCGGAGCTGTGTTGAGTTAAGCAGGCAGGTTTTGCAGAGACCTGAGCAGGGAGATGTGTAGTGATGTCAACGTCATTGTGCTAAAATTCCTCTTCTGATGCCCCCACCCCAAATCCTCCGAGAAGCAATCCCCTCTCGTGGGAGCTGTGTTGCACATGGGTATTCATGGATTTCCCTCTGGGTCCACAGAGGACCATGCCAGGTTACCAGGACAACAGGAGCGACCCAGGCAGCTGTGGGCACAGGGGCTGGCGGGGGTCAGCAGGGCAGCCCCAGGAGCGTCCACAGGCTGTGAAGTTGGGGCCCGGAGGGTCTCATTCGGAGCTCAAGGCTGGGGGCGGCCCAGCTGGTGTTGACGTAACCTCTTCGAAAGCCCTACAGTGTGGTTGCAGCATCTCTGGGACAGAAGTTAAAACAGCGGAGGCCACGGTTACCCAGAAAACACGCACTAACCTCCCTTGAAAACCAAAAATATCTTCTGTCACCAAAGTTCTTTATGATCATCCTCAAACCTCCTCGCTTGGCCCAGGGCCTCCCCAGGGGCCAATTAGGGCTCTAACGCGGCTGGAGTGGGAGCTCTGGGCCCCCGTTTCCACTCTGCCACAAACCAGGCATAGACCTTGTCAAGGCTGGTCCCTCTTAGGGTCTCAATTTCCTCATCTGCGTAATGGGCAGGGGGTGGCCTGGAAGATGCCTCCATTTGCTGAGTGGCCCTAGGTGGGACACTGGGCTTTTGGGACAAGGGTCCCTGTTTTCTCCTGTAGAACCAAAGCTATGATCAAACAATCAGGCTCTGGGAGAAATGAGGGGGATTGTCTCACATTCATTCATTCTGTGAATATTTTCTGAGGGCCTGCAGGTGCCAGATGTTGTTCTAGGCACTGGGTTAGAGCCGAGAACAAAATGATTTTTGAAAACCCAACCTCATCTAGGGGAGGAGTCAGGCAGTGGACAAGGCAGTGAGTGACCAAGATGATGTTAGATGATGATGATGATGATGATGATGGGTGCTAGAGAGGGGAAGAGGTTCCAGACTCAGGGATCAGCATGGGCCTTAAGTTACATGGTCTAGAAAAAACTGCAAGGAAGCCCGGGAGGTGGCAGGACCTGGGAGGGTGACAGGGGGAGGGGGTGAAGTCAGCCTGGGGCAGGGCAGGGATCCTTGTAAGGATTCTGGGAAAGTTGGCTCTAAACTCATGTACATGGACTGGACACCTTCCCTGGGCTGCCGCCTACCAACTGGCCCACACCAACCCACAGGCTTCTTTGGCAAGAAATGGGCCTATTAAAACCTGGTGGGGACTAGGTGGCTTCTGGGCCCAGAGAGTCTTAAAGGATCCACAGAGATGAACCTGCACCCCCATCCTCAGCTCCCTGGCAGGGGAGGCACACGCTGCTTTCAGGGTGACCAAGGAGAAACTCTGCCCCAGGCTCTAGCATCACTGGGATGGTGCCATCTCTCTCTTATGATCACGTCCTTCCCTGCTCTGAAGCCTTCAGTGGCTCCCACTGCCTAAAGAATCCAGTCCAATCTCCTAACACCGAAGGTATCCTTTTCTGAACACCAGCCCCCTGTAGACGCCCCTGCAAGGGGCTGTACTTCATCACCCCAGGAAAACCTGCACCGTCCACTCCGCCTATGTGTGGTTCCTTCAGGTTCTCTATCACCCCCTCCCAACACTCTCTCCAATGGGTGAACAAAAGTTTGTTGTATTGGAACCAGAAAGCAAGAACCAAACAAGAAAAGATGGGTAGATCAGATGCATCACGATTTAAACGTATGCTCATCAAAACACCTCATTCAGAAAATGACTACTCAAACCACAGGTGGGGAGAAAATATTTGCAAAGCGCACCGCTAACAGAGAACAAGCAAAGTAATTTTTAAAATGGGCAGAAGATTTGAAGATTCCTCAAAGAAGACATAGGAATGGCCAAAAAGCAGGTGAAGGTGTGCTCACAGCATTAGTCCTCAGGGAAATGCAAATGAAAACCGCGGTGAGATCCTGAGGCCCAAGCGCCAGCAGGGCTAAAATGACAAAGCCTGCCAGCATCACTCCCTGGAGAACGGGTCATCGGGACGCGTGTGCGTTATTGGTGAGAATGTAAACTGGTCCAACCGCTTTGGGAAAAGGCAGCATTTTATAGACCTAAACATACCTATCCTATGGCCCAGCCATCCCATGCCTCGGTATACACCCAGGAAAAAATGAAAGTGTGTGTCCACGAAAAGACCTGTCTATGAATGCTCGTAGCATCTTTACGCATAATAGCCCCAACCTGGTCCAGGGTCCATCGATGGGAGAGTGGAAAAACAGACGCACGACAGGATAGAGGGGGAGCAATAAACAGGAACTGTGGGTACACACGCCACACGGACGACCCTCAAAACACGATGTGGAAAGAAGCCAGATGCAAAAAAATATATACGGTATGAATCCATTTATATGATGCTCAAATGGTTCACTTAGTGTGTGTATTTACATTTTATCATATGTCAAAGTTTGGTGTAAACTTTACACCAAAACAATAAAAAGAACCACAGATAAATACTGAACTCTAGCTAACGATATGCATGCTAACATATTCAGGAGGGTACCTGAAACTTTCTTTGAAATGCANACTTTACACCAAAACAATAAAAAGAACCACAGATAAATACTGAACTCTAGTTAACGATATGCATGCTAACATATTCAGGAGGGTACCCGAAACTTTCTTTGAAATGCAAATAATAATAATAATAATAATAATAATAAGGTGGATTCATGGATGGATAGAGGGAAAGACAGATATGTAATAAAGCAAACAAACAAAAACATTAAGGGCAAGTGGTGAGTATATGAGTGTTTACTGCAAAATTCTTTCAACTCTTGTGTATGTTTAAAATTTTTATAGTAAACTACTGGGGATAAAGTTCGCCCCATCCTCAAAAGGCCATTCGGAAGAAGCCTCCCTGCTGTTAACAGAAGCCCTAGGTTTGAATCCAGGCTGTGTGACTCTGGCCAGTTACTTTACCTCTCTGGGCTTCAGTTTAAGCATTTGTAAAAAAATAATAATATTCCTTACCTAATCGAGTTACTGTGCAGATTCGATGAGATGTGTCTCAAGTATTTAGCACAGCACACACAATCAGTAAATGTCAACTATTGTTTTTCTAGTTCAAATTCTTTTCCTCCTCGC